AGTAGTAGTAGTAGTAGTAGTAGTAGTAGTAGTAGTAGTAGTAGTAGTAGTAGCAGCATTTTTATTATCATTATTATTATCACCATCATCATTATTGATACTATTTTATTTTCATGTTCCTATTACTGTAATAAGTCTATTTTTGCTATTGCTATTGCTATTTCAACTGCTACGGCTGTTGTTATTACTATTGTTATTGTTATTGCTAATGTAATTGTGATTATTATTACTGCTATTATTATGACAACGATAATTTCATGTTTTGGGATTTGCGTTACCATAATATATTATGTGTGGTGGCATATGAAATTGGGGCATTTTTTCTCTTTTGAAACTGACGCTGCTACACAAAAGCCCTTTTACTTTTACTTTCCTTATTGCCGCCGTTTATATCTTTAAAATGCCTCAATATATGACAAAAATAAACACGTTTATATGTTAAGGAGTGTGCGAAGTGGGAAAACTGAGAAAAGTACATCTGAAGGGGTTCAAATTATTTACTTGAACATTTCGGGGAATTGTTTCAAATGAAGTAAAAAAAAAACGCGCGTGAATTGGTCAATGAACTGTCTAGAAAAGCATCATGTCAGCGTCTTTTATTGAGACGGAACAAACTACCAGCATATAATTTGATGGCTTGTCATAAATATTATTATTGTCTTAATATTCATTCATTTATCTATTTATTTATTTATTTATTTGTTTCATTTACTTATTTTGCCACATATTTATTCCAGGTCTCGGCAATCATATGGTTTACGGTAGTATAATTTATAATTAGTTTTGTTCCATGCTGAGTTAACGTAGGCTACTATACACAGGTGACGTTTTATCTACAGCTAAACCTGCTCTAACGGCCTCCGGTATAAAACAATCACCTGTACAGTCGGTCACTTCCCATTTCCCACTCGCAATCTTGTAACACTAAAACAACACCATGGTGTAAGAGGGCCATCTGTCTAAGTATAATTTTTCCTCGACAATGATCGGCCATCTTAGAAAATTTCGACAGTAATTTTCTTGGGGTTTTTTTGTAAGTGTATTACGGCGCTCGCAACTGCAT